TTGAATTAATTCACATTATGATTATGCGCAAAACATTTAAACCGATATCTTCCTCTATATGTGTCCCGTAATTATTACAACAATAAACAAACATGTTATAACACAAGTCGTATAGCACTTTAATGTGTTTTGATTGGCTGATAGAAAAAACTTTGAACGAAAGTGTGCTGCACGCTCTCACGGAAATTAGAACGATAAGGATTGATATTGTGATAATATGATGGACGGTAATGCTATATTAACTGACCTCTATATATGATGTAGAATCACGTTATATTAACTTGACAGGTGACCACACAAATATCATAGTACTGGACAGGTGACCACAGTTATAACATAGTACTGGACAGGTGACCACAGAAATACCACAGTACTGGACAGGTGACCACAGTAATAACATAGTACTGGACAGGTGACCACAGAAACACCATAGTACTGGACAGGTGACCACAGAAATACCATAGTACTGGACAGGTGACCACAGTACTTGACAGGTGACCACAGAAATACCATAGTACTGGACAGGTGACCACAGTACTGGACAGGTGACCACAGTTATAACATAGTACTGGACAGGTGACCACAGTTATAACTTAGTACTGGACAGGTGACTACAGAACTACCATAGTACTGGACAGGTGACCACAGAAATACCATAGTACTGGACAGGTGACCACAGTACTGGACAGGTGACCACAGTTATACCATAGTACTGGACAAGTGAGTTATACTGTACTGGACAGGTGACCACAGTACAGGTGACCACAGAAATACAATAGTACTGGACAGGTGACCACAGAAATATCATAGTACTGGACAGGTGACCACAGAAATACCATAGTACTGGACAGGTGACCACAGAAATATCATAGTATTGGACAGGTGACCACAGAAACACCATAGTATTGGACAGGTGACCACAGAAACACCATAGTACTGGACAGGTGACCACAGAAATACCATAGTACTGGACAGGTGACCACAGAAATATCATAGTACTGGACAGGTGACCACAGAAATACCATAGAGGTGTGTATTAACTGTAAAGGTTTTTTTTTGTTGACATATATACATGGTCTACGTGAAGGTTTCCTACGTGTTTCTCATTTTTAATTTTAATTATCTTCTGCATAGAAATATGATACGATAATATACTATAGCACCTCGGCGACTTAGTGAAAAATTATGGAAATCTATGAAGATTTATGAAAATGTACATTTTTGTGCGTGAAGTAATTGACTACATTTGATATGTAAGTAACAATTAATACACTTGGTGATTGATGTACATGTTTGTATATCTAATGACTCAGGAAACATGCACGCTGCTGGTGCGCCTCACCAACAAAGATCAGGGTTTAGATTTTATCTGTTGTGAAGGTTTCATCACTTCAGTTCCTCAATATCACTGACCAGCTGTATGATTAAACCTGTATATATCATAGTATAGTGCTTAATCTTGTGTATCGTGTTATAAATTTGTTGTTAAATGCAGTTTTTCTGTAGAGAGTCATTGTGTGAGGGAGGGTGTGTTTGTGTGAGTTTTTTTAAACAATCTTTCGAGATTGTAGGTGGTAGACTCTCATTGTAGGCTGGAGTACCCGCAGTTTTCAATAACCGTCATGTCACGGTTTAGTTGTTTAGAATAGCGGAATGATTTAGTGTATACTATTGTACTTGGCGTCCGTTTGAAACCGTTCAGTAAATGAATCCAAATCTCAAAGAAATGTGGCGCTAATGCACATATCCTTCGATATCATGGCAAACCTTTCCGCCAATTTTCGTTCTTTGCCGCTTGTGTTACTTACGAGCCCTAAAAGGACGAAACGGCTGTATGATTTAGTAACACTAACGAGCCCTAAAAGGACGAAACGGCTGTATGGTGTAGCATCACTAACGAGCCCTAAAAGGACGAAACGGCTGTATGATGTAGCATCACTAACGAGCCCTAAAAGGACGAAACGGCTGTATGATTTAGTAACACTAACGAGCCCTCAAAGGACGAAACGGCTGTATGGTGTAGTAACACTAACGAGCCCTAAAAGGACGAAACGGCTGTATGGTGTAGCATCACTAACGAGCCCTAAAAGGACGAAACGGCTGTATGATTTAGTAACACTAACGAGCCCTCAAAGGACGAAACGGCTGTATGATTTAGTAACACTAACGAGCCCTCAAAGGACGAAACGGCTGTATGGTGTAGTGACACTAACGAGCCCTAAAAGGACGAAACGGCTGTATGGTCAGATTTTTTCGCTTTAGACTCGGCCCTATGCAATCCAATTTTCTATTTCAACATGCTATTGTTTTGTGTGTGTTTCGTACAATCCTAATGATAAAACATAGAGCTGTGGGGATCTGGTGTCGGATATCATGAAAACCAGTGGCAAATGGGGTAGATTTGGTTTCGGGTGTTGTGATGTAACAAATTGGAAGCTATTGACATGATATAACCAATTTGACAGACAGTTTTATATTTGTTGGATCCTCGGCGGAAGTGAGGGCTGTCTACCTCGCCTTTGAATATATTTAAACAAACAATGCAATAAGAGCTGTTATCCGTTCAGACTCTCTTTCTGTTCCACAAAGTCTTAACAATAGAAATGTCGACAATATCTTCATTGATAATACATTAATTCTATGTCATGAAATTGCCTTAAACTTTCGTTTCGTTGTTTGCTTGGTTCCTGGGCACATGGGAAATACCAGGCAATAAAAAAGCAGATCGTGTCACAAAGGAAGCTTGATCGCTACCACCAGTTGTTTTTAAACTTCATTTTACCGATTTTAAACCATTTATCAAACAAATTCTAATAGGTCATGGACAGGAGGAATGGAATCCATTTACCGACAATAAATAACATTCCGTAAAACCTATCATCAGTGAATGGTCTTCATGCTATAGAGACAACCACCGAGACGAAGCTGTCCTTGCACGTCTTCGGATGGGTCATACATACCTTACATATTCATATATGTTGAAAGGTTAAGATAATCCTTGGTGCATAGGATGTAATGAGTCATTCACAGTTAAACATTTTAGTGCAGGGCATTGGAAAGGTACGGAAGCGTATTCCGGCCACATTGTGTTTAATTTTAATTCGAAATTTCGAGATAGTAACTCGAAATTTCAGGTTAGTTATATGAAATTTTGAGATATTAACCCGATATTTTGTTGGATCCTCGGCGGAAGTGAGGGCTGTCTACCTCGCCTTTGAATATATTTAAACAAACAATGCAATAAGAGCTGTTAACACGAAATTTTGAGTTAGCAACTCCAAATTTCGAGATAAATAAAACACAACGTCGTCGGAATATGTTTCCGTAAAAAGGTGCATTTGGGAATTTGCGCAAAACTTAAGAGAGTATCATCCTGATATTCAATATATAAACAAACTTTTGTAAAAAAAATCCATCACTTATGAAATAACCGTGACAAATTCTTCCTCTTCTTCTCCTCCTTCTTCTTCTTTCTTCTTCTTCTTCTTCTTCTTCTTCTTCTTCTTCTTCTTCTTCTTCTTCTTCTTCTTCTTCTTCTTCTTCTTCTTCTTTCAACTGGATTTTAAATTTAAAAAGTAATTTGAACGAGGAACCAGTTTATTCCAGCCATTTGTAACACGTTACACTATCCGCCTACAGATGTTACCAGTAGTATACAGGAGAACGACACTTTTCCCTCACTGGGCGTGACACATAAACATATAGTATTTATCATCACTATTGTGCCATGACAGACCTGAATTTTCTAATGATTGATAAAACGTTAAGGAAGACATTGCTTCCTCTTAATTCGTCATATTCTCTAACCAGTTCATACTGCTGTTAATTTCATAAAAATACTTGTCCCAAATTAGTTTACGGAAATTAGAACCATTACGGATTTACCTATTGAAACGATTTAAATTAAGTTCAAATATTTCATCAATCATTTATTCATTAAATTTGATCAAAATGACATTTAATTAATTTAATTATTCATCTATCATTACCCTGATATGGGTCCATATATTATCACGCGTGTTTTATGTAAAGTGAACTATTATATAACTGATGAGATGACCCAGATAGAATAGTGCACGCGCTCGTCTGTTACTATGACAATTACTTTACAGCTAGGTGTAAATTGAGTTATCATTAGTCGGCACAGCGTATATCTTTTAATCTTTCAACTTCTCACGTCAGAGTGACATCGGTAAAACACTCCGGAGTTGGTGACATCGGTAAAACACTCCGGAGAGAATGACATCGGTAAAACACTCAGGAGTTTGTGACATCGGTAAAACACTCCGGAATTGATGACATCGGTAAAACACTCCGGAGTTGGTGACCTCGGTAAAACACGCCGGAGTTGTGACATCGGTAAAACACTCCGGAGTTGGTCACATCGGTAAAACACTCCGGAGTTTGTGACATCGGTAAAACACTCCGGAGTTGGTGACATCGGTAAAACACGCCGGGGAGAATGACATCGGTAAAACACTCCGGAGTTGGTCACATCGGTAAAACACTCCGGAGTTGGTCACATCGGTGAAACACTCCGGAGAGAATGACATCGGTAAAACACTCCGGAGTTGGTCACATCGGTAAAACACTCCGGAGTTGGTCAAATCGGTAAAACACTCAGGAGTTGGTGACATCGGTAAAACACTCCGGAGTTGTGACATCGGTAAAACACTCCGGAGTTGGTCACATCGGTAAAACACACCGGAGTTGGTCACATCGGTGAAACACTCCGGAGAGAATGACATCGGTGAAACACTCCGGAGAGAATGACATCGGTGAAACACACAAGAATGGACGACAACATGCCAATATTTGGTGTTATTAATTAAGGTATTTGAACGTTGCTGTTTTTTCCTCCTCATCCTATGTGTAGAATTATCTCGATGGAAGGGCGAGTTGTTTGTGACTGTAGGCTAATTAGATATAGCGAACAGACCGACTTATTTGAAACAGGTTAAAGAAGCTATTTGCTAAACGTTCCTTTGTATTTTGAACAGGGATAGTGATGTGTCCAGAACTGGCCAAACGGCACCGATTTATAACGAGGAGCAACAGAGACTCATTAAAATTGACCTCCTACAGACGAAATCCAGGAACGAGTGTCGTTATATCCTGTATAGCCCCGGAAACACACCGACTGAATGGCGACGCTTTTGTCACATGTCTTCATAACGGACGCTGGAACAAGCCTATACCTCGCTGTATCCATGGTAACGACTGGGGAACTGAAGGACGGTCCTCGGCTAACGATCTCACTATTGCAGGTAGCGCTTGTCGGTCATGTTCAGTTTTATGGCACGCAATTGAATGAAGTCATGTTAAACTGTGAGATAGTCATACTTATGGTCTCGTAAGACAAAGCTTACATTTTGAAACTAAAGCGGGAATTTTGAGAAAATTTGAACATATGAAGTACGACTGATACATATTGGAAAATATTTCTTTATAATGACAGGTCCGAAATCACAAAATGCCGTGTCATTTGGGAGTATTTCGCAGGCAGATGCTCTGCCCTACGTCATCACAGTTTCCGTTCTAGCCTTAATGTTCATCGCACTCATCGCTGCTATCGTCTACTTGGCGTATCTCCGGCGACGACTAGAGACGTCCATTAAAGAGGCCGAGGCTCGACCTGCGCGTGTCAGAACTGTAGGAAGGTAGGTAGACTGTATCTGGGTAGGAAACACGTGTTTTAGTCTTATAGAAAACATAGTAATATGCATGTATGTGTAATAGTTATAAATTCAAACTTCATACGGGACGAATATTGTTTAGTATCTATCGGTAGGAATGGAAGTGAAAAATAGTGTGTCGAGATCTTTTTTATAAACTGTTTGGATCTTGTAATCTGGGCCCGTATTCATGAAACCGTTCTCATGCTTAAGCAGGAATTTTGTGTTCGAGCCTTATATCTTGTATAAGTTAAAATTAATAAATAAGACCGATTTTGCCTAAGATTTTTTAAAAAAAATTTGAAAGGACTTCAAGTCAAAGTTATATTCAATGTTTATATTTGACATTTGTATTATTTTATATGATTTAGGTAAATTATAAAAAAAAGTCTGCTTACGCTTGGTTTCATGAATACGGGCCCTGGTGTACGTGGAATTGTTTGATTCTTATTAACAGTAATATACCACTAAAAGATCTCAAATAAACAGCTATCGACGTACAGGATATGTCCCCAATTCTCAAATAACACACTGCTCATTCTCACAAGTTTTTAAAAATCATATTTTAGTATGACGTCATTACCAACAACGTCATCAACAGCCTACGACTTTTCCATGAATGTAGATGGCGCTGCTTACGTTTCATCTTCCGGAACCAGTTCTCCGACATATGGCCCGGATTTAGAGTACCCTCCCTGGAATACATATCCCCGACTACACCAGTCCCGGTTAAAGTTAGAAACAGAGAGCACAAGTGGATCAGTACGTTACACAACCGTCTCCGACTACCTCGTGTATAAATAAATCAGTGTTTACCCACCAAGGGAACACACAAAACTGAAATAAAGCGACTCGGACTCCGAACGTTTGACGTTGTTTCCTGGTGGATACTGGTTCGATTAGGAGGTGATATATACTGTTCCCTTTAACATAGCTGTAACAGAAGAACAATGTTGAACAATTAAATCAGTGACATTTATCACTGGTGAACAACCTGTATCTCGAACATGTTGATCATTTATGAACAATTAATGGCTCAAACATGTTCATTAATTTTGAACAATTTACAGATCGTGTTCATCACTGTGGAGCAATTTATTTTACGGACCTGTTCATCACTTGTGAACAATTTATATCCCGAACTTGTTTATCATTTGTAAGCATTTTTTATCTCGATGTTCATCAATCATGAACAATTTGTATTGAGTAAATGGTCATTTTTTGTGAAAAATTCATATACGAATAATGTCCTCCAAGTTTCGTAATGTGTCCTAATTCTCCCGTTATTGTTTCGGTGTATAAGCCGGGTTATATATAACAATATGACCTAATTCTCCTGTAATTGTGTCGGTGTATAAGCCTGGTTATATATAACAATATGACCTAATTCTCCTGTTATTGTTTCGGTATATAAGCCTGGTTATATATAACAATGTGACCTAATTCTCATGTTATTGTTTCGGTGTATAAGCCTGGTTATATATAACAATGTGACCTAATTCTCCTGTAATTGTGTCGGTGTATAAGCCTGGTTATATATAACAATGTGACCTAATTCTCCTGTTATTGTGTCGGTGTATAAGCCTGGTTATATATAACAATGTGACCTAATTCTCCTGTAATTGTGTCGGTGTATAAGCCTCGTTATATATAACAATGTGACCTAATTCTCCTGTTATTGTGTCGGTGTATAAGCCTGGTTATATATAACAATGTGACCTAATGCTCCTGTTATTGTTTCGGTATATAAGCCTGGTTATATATAACAATGTGTCCTAATTCTCCTGTAATTGTGTCGGTCTATAAGCCGGGTTATATATAACAATGTGACCTAATTCTCCTGTAATTGTGTCGGTTTATAAGCCTGGTTATATATAACAATGTGACCTAATTCTTCTGTTATTATGTATAAGCCTGGTTATATATAACAATGTGTCCTAATGCTCCTGTTATTGTTTCGGTGTATAAGCCTGGTTATATATAACAATGTGTCCTAATTCTCCTGTAATTGTGTCGGTCTATAAGCCGGGTTATATATAACAATGTGACCTAATTCTCCTGTAATTGTGTCGGTTTATAAGCCTGGTTATATATAACAATGTGACCTAATTCTTCTGTTATTATGTATAAGCCTGGTTATATATAACAATGTGACCTAATTCTCCTGTTATTGTATCGGTGTATAAGCCTGGTTATATATAACAATATGACCTAATTCTCCTGTTATTGTTTCGGTGTATAAGCAGGGTTATATATAACAATGTGACCTAATTCTCCTGTAATTGTGTCGGTGTATAAGCCTGGTTATATATAACAATGTGTCCTAATTCTCCTGTAATTGTGTCGGTCTATAAGCCGGGTTATATATAACAATGTGACCTAATTCTCCTGTAATTGTGTCGGTGTATAAGCCTGGCTATATATAACAATGTGACATAATTCTCCTGTAATTGTGTCGGTGTATAAGCCTGGTTATATATAACAATGTGTACTCTATCTATGTACTACATATAATTAGCTAGGAAGCAAACACACACGTTTGTTACAGTATATATACCAATAGAGATCAATAAATCAAAGGTTTACACTCACATCATAGGTGTTGCCGCTAGGTTTAACACTGAGTTTCCACATAGTAAGATCAGGGCCCGTAAAACCATTCTCATGCTCATAAATAATACAAATGTCAAATATAAACGTTGAATATAACTTAGACTTGAAGTCCTTTCATTTGTTTTAATCTTTGGCAAAATATATAAAATAATACAAATGTCAAATATAAACATTGAATATAACTTTGACTTGAAGTCCTTTCATTTGTTTTAATCTTTGGCAAAATCAGCATTATTTATTAATTTTAAACTTAAACAAGGCATAAAGATTCAGCACAAAATTCATACTTGAGCATGAGAACGGTTTCATGAATACGAGCACAGATCTGAAAGTATGCTTATAAAATTGTTAATTGATAAGCTGTAAGCCAGATATTTAAGGGTTTGACTTTTGGCGGACATATTGCATTATTTTTCAACATACTCCTCTTCACTTTTGCCAGCGATGTTTAAGGGCCTCAATGCAATGCCACTTCTAAAGAAGTCCTTTTCTTTGCCGTTCAGAAAGTCCCCTTCTTTGCCGTTCAGAAAGTCCCCCACTGCATGTATGACTTTATCATCTGAGTGGGTACTGGAAATGGCCTTTTTCAGTTTTGGAAATTTCTGAAAGTCTGATGGAGAGAGATCAGGAGAATAAGACGGATGCTCAATCAACTCAAAGCTACAATCGTTAAGGACAGCCATGAAAATAACAGACTTGTGAATAGGGGCATTATCCTTGTGGAACAACTCATCTTTAAAGATTTTTCCGCGGCGTTTGACTTTAATATTTTCTCGTAGATGACTTAGAAGTGATGCATGATATGTGCCATTGATTGTTTGCCCCTTTCGTAGATACTCTACCAACAGAATACCATCAGCATCCAAGAAAACCAAGGTTATAACCTTTTCAGTCTTTGCCTTCTTTGATGGGGTGAACCTAGGTGCTTCCATTGTTTGTTTGGCTTCTGGGTTGAAGTGGTGGACCCACATTTCATCCATAGTCACAAACTTCTGCAGAAAGCAGTATCTGCCTCTAAATGATTCAGATGAGCATGTGACAAGTCTGTCTGGTATTCTTCTGATCAACTGTCAGAAGTCATAGTACCCTACGGGCTGAGAGCTTTCTCATTGTAAGATCTTCCGTAAGAACGGAATGTACTCTTTCCTGTGAAATCGTACTGGCTATATATATCTCTGTAACTCGCCTGTCAGCCATAATAATATGGACTTTATTGACCATTTCTGAGATTGCAACAGTGACAGGCCTTTCATGACTACTGTCATCCCCAAGGCTCTGTCTGCCTAGCTTAAATTCCGCCACAGTTTTCACTGTAACATATGAGGAGCGTCATCCCCTAGTGTTGTTACCATATCAATATGGGTGTCCTCAGCTCCGAGATTTTCTTATACAAATATTAAATCACTGCTCATCAATTTTGTTCATTTTGCAAACATCACTTGCCTTGTTTATTTAGAGTGCCACATCTTCGATATAAACCGACCAAATGACACCAGTCTTCGGGTACATGGCCTTAAATAGTCAGGGAATAGTAGAGCTAAAAAGGACATCCTTGCTTCACCCTTCAATATAAGGCTCACAACTTGTCAATCAGCTCTCGTATTTGAATAATTCCGCTAAGATTATATTTTAATATGATCTGGGACCTCTGACTTACTAGACTTCAGTTCTCTTTACTGCGATCGGTTTGGACTAGTAAACCAGAGGCCCCCAGTTCGAATCCTAGCGGATGTATTTAAATAATTAATGACCTCTGTGACACTAATATCTTCACTTGTTTTTGATACGTTTTCTTTCAATGTATTCTTGGGAAGAAACCTTATACCTATATGGCCGTGCAATGTAATGTACATTCTATGTATGTACATGAGCGGTATTCAACAATGATAACTCGTAAAAAACTTTCGAATCACAGCTCGCACTAATAGAACGTTCCATTGATGGCGTCATAATGTTAATGACGTCATAGTTAGTGATATCAAGTCATGATGCTTTTAAAATATCATAAATGTACTGTTTCATGTTTCATATATTGACTACACTATCATACGAGACACAATAAATCTGTTACAATCAGGTTGGGGTTTGTCTGTACCTATATTTACAGCTATGATGATTCAATAGTTTGATACAAAATTACCACAGACGATGTACCTGTGTTCACTTATCACCTTTTCATTCATTGTTCTACCTCTACAGTTAACTCTTTTAAGTAATATATAAGTAAAAACAAATCTGGCTAAGTTATGAACTCTAGTTACTGCCGTGGCAAACGAGTACAAAAATGGCTGTACAGAGGATCTGAGTGGTTACAGAGCGTTTGCGCAGTGGTTGAGAATTGGTTGTGGAGTATGTCATCAGATTCGCTGATACAGATAATTTGAAACCAATCCGTAGATAATCCGATTACTCGAACTTGTAGATACTCTGCACCTACTCCTCAGAAACTCTCCGCATTTACTTTTCAGCAACTTATCAGCACCTACTCCACAGAAACTGCTCCGCACCTACTCAACGGAAACTCCCCGCAACTATTCCAAGTGTACAGCCTACATATTTACTCTCTCGTTATATTTCATGGTTAGAGACGCGGATATTTCTAAACCATCTCAACATTTCCTTCATATAGACATGATCCCAGTGGACAGACCCAGAACAAACTAGGAACAAACCATGAGTTGGCCAGGAACTGACCATAAGGTGTCCAGGAACTGACCATGAGTTGTCCAGGAACTGACCATGAGTTGTCCCGGAACTGACCATCAATTGACAAGAGACTGACCATGAGTTGACAAGAGACAGACCGTGAGTTGACAAAAGACTGACCATGAGTTGACAAGAGACTGACCATGAGTTGACAAGTGACTGACCATGAGTTGACAAGAGCCGGACCATGAGTTGACAAGAGACTAACCATGGGTTGACGACTGACCATCAATTGACAAGAGACTGACCATGAGTTGACAAAAGACTGACCATAAATTGACAAGAGACTGACCATGGGTTGACGACTGACCATCAATTGACAAGAGACTGACCATGAGTTGACAAGAGACAGACCGTGAGTTGACAAAAGACTGACCATGAGTTGACAAGAGACTGACCATGAGTTGACAAGAGACTGACCATGAGTTGACAAGAGACTGACCATGGGTTGACAAGTGACTGACCATGATTTGACAAGAGACTGA